CATTATCTGCTGTGTGAGATTTAAGGCATTGCTGTGCCATAATAGTCTCAACAGAGTTTGAGTGAGATTTGATGATGTCACCAGTGTCTTTCCTTATCATTTTTATCCTTGCTGGAGGCACTAACATGAGGAAGCAAAGCCCTGCCTCTACCAATGGCTGCACACAGGAACAGTGCAGAATAAGGCATGGTAAGCCAACAGTGGGATAAAGATTAGCTGCATGGAGACCACAGATAATCCTGGTAACTAGTAATTTACCCTCTGCCTGTCCATTTTTGAGCACAGCTTTCACAGTTAAAATCCTCTTTTATCCCTTCCACAGCCTAAATGCTGTATAACAACTAACAACTCAATTCACAAAGCTTAAACACCAGTTATTTCCAGCTGAGCCCAATGAGATTTGAAATTTACAGTAACATGCCTAAAAATAAAGACACTTATCCTGGTATAAAGTTCTGTGAACTTGGCCTAATGGCATCCACAATGGGTTGAATAGTAGACTGTATTGTGCTTCTTTAAAGTGTCTTTGTTACCATTTTTTGGATTGGGCTTGGAAGGGAGCCACAGTGTTTGAATTCTCTTTAGAGAGATTTCTCCTGATTCCCTCTCCTGGTTACAACATTGTCACAAAGACTTGAATTGAGATCTCTAGTGGTTGAAAGTGCCTGCTTCACACCATGCAGCGTGATTAGTAGAGATAATATAGGTGCTCGTAGTGACCACCATGGATGGTCCCGTGCAAAACCTCAGAGATGTAAAGATTGGTCACCAGCACAAGCAATCCTCAATATTATGTAGCCCTAATTATCTCTATGTTCCTGAGACCAGAAGGGACAAGCCATTCTTTGGCTGATGGCAACTTGCCAGCAACAGGATTACTAGTGTGATATGGTCTATCAAAATGGCCATGATAGGCAAACCTGAGAGGTCATCTGTGGATATCTTGTTGCCATGGCTCCTGACAGATATGAACTGAACATGTCATATAAAGTAGTCAGTATTTAGGGGCATTTTTGTTCAGTGCTAACTAGGGATCCAATTATACAGGTTTTTTCGGTATCGCGTATGAGTAGCGATTATCTTGCCTGCGATACTTGCTGATGCTGGTGCTTCCTGCTGGCATGGGGGCGGCTTCCTGGGCATGCTGCCCGGCTTCCTGATTGCACGGGAAGCTGGCTCCATGTTGTTTAGCGGCTCAATTGTGATTGGCCGGGAAACCGGCTTCCCAGCCAATCAGCATTGAGCCGCTTAGGTAGCCGGGCGGCGAGGAATGATCCGGCTTCTTGATTCCTGGGAAGCTGGCTTCCCGGCCAATAAGCCTGGAGCTGGCTTCCCGTCCAATCGGCAAGGAGCCAGCTGTTCGGCTGGCTCGATGCTGATTGGCTGGGTTCCCAGCCAATCAGGAAGCCTGGAGACGGGCCATTACTCACCACCCGGCTTCCTGATTGCCCAGGAAGCCGGATCCATGTGTCCCTACGGCACTGCCAGTCAGAGGAAGTTCTGGTATCGGTGGAAAGGTATCGGAGCATTTGGGCAAATACGAGTACTCGCCCAAATACTCGGTATCGGCACCCCTAGTGCTAACATTTGTGTCTGGATTCAGTTTTCTATGGTGTGGCACTATTAGTATTCCCTCCACATAACACTCCTAATCCTTTCACCTTTTAGTGCAGAAACCCAACAGATATTATCTTTGAAAACGCTATAAAGGTTTTTGAGATTGCCACAGGGCCCATATGTCACTGTTCTCCGGTGCTCTTCTCAGAGCACACAGGGGCACTTATGATTCAATAATTGAAGTTTTGAATAGTACTTCAACTTTTCTGTGATAGCAGGGGGAAGCTATGGTGGTATTAACCTGTTTTCCTTCAGTTTAAAGAAGAACTGCACATATCACTCCTTGCATCTGTGCTGACTGTGCTCATTTTAATATCAGGAAATATACAGTTGTAATCAACATTATTCAACCCCCATTGCAAGGCAGGTTTGTTGGCAAAGCTGTTTTCAATTGCTGTTTTCAGTGAACAAATCACACAAAAACTATTGAAATCGCAATGCTGTTGCTGAATCTATGATCTATGAGGACTCACGGGTCTTTCTCCATGTCTGCCTTCCCCAGTGCAGCACCCCCTAGGTAGTAGTTTGGATGCACATTCTTGATTCCCATGTGCATACCCTTGCATTTTTCTATATTTAATCGCATCTGCCATCTTGTAGCCCAGGCCTCAATTTTTTCCACGTCTTGTTGGAGTGCATTGATGTTTTGTTGAGAATTTACTGCCCTACACAGTTTAGTATCATCGGCAAAAACCGAAACTGAACAATTTATTCCAATCACTGTATCAGTTATGAATAAAATAAAAAGGATCAATTCCAAGAGTGATTCCTGGGGCACCCAACTTACAACTTTGACCCAGTTAGAAAAATAACTATTTATTACATTTCATCCCTCCCAATTCTCTTACAAATCACCCAGTTCCAGGATCCCAACTATAATCCAGAAAACCCGGAAAGAACTGACAAGCCAGCTCTTTCCTGGTAAAAGTAATTGCTTGTGATTATAATGCACATTATACCGTGGTATTGCCGCGCAATGCCACAAAGCATAATTTTACCACTTTATAACTCATATTCCTCTTGAGTACAGTTGAAAACATATGTGCCGCATTAGAAGAATAAGGGTCCAAAGAAAGATGGTGGGAGAAACAGAAATCATGATTGCTTCAAAGATCTTTTGTTTAAAAAAAATTGCTCCACCACAAAAGAAAGACTAGTTGGATTTTCTGGCAGGAGCGACTATTTTTCTTTTTTAATTGAAAACAATCTTTTCTTCCATCTGCCCATTTAGTGTAGGCAATATCTGACATCTATCATTGTTTTTTTGGAACACTTGTTCTCTCGAATAATTGTACCATCATGTGTAGGACCAGCATACAAATCATACTGCTTATGTTTTCACATCTCTGCGATTCATGACATACAATGGTTTCTGACCACGCTTGAAGGAACTGTAGGCAATTCCTTTCCATAGCTGGGCTAGCGTGCACTGCAGAGAAACTCCCTTGTGTAAAGAGAAATTTTCCTATCAATTGTTTCAATCCCCACTAACTAGACGCTGATGGATAGAACCGGCTCTTTCATTGTTTGCCATGAGGAGTCGTGAGATTTGGAACGGAACACTGTGAAATGCTGTGTTACCATGCAGTTAATGGAGTCAAGCTGTATCATCTAACATCCAGAACATTCCACTTTTATCAGTTGCATTTGAGCATGGCATTGTGTAATACTGTACAGGCTCCAACACTTGCAGGAGAGTGTTACGGGACTTTGGTACGGTGTTGCTCTTTGGCTTGCGCTACAGTTATTTGGCCTTTGCATACAATTCCCGATAAACCTAAAACAGAAATGTTACAAGATGTGAGAACTACAAATAGCGTTCACAGATATGTATGTATCCAAAACTATTATTATTATTATTATTATTATTATTATTATTATTCAGGATTTATGTAGCGCCAACAGTTTGACATTACAGTTACAATACAAATCAAGACAAGATGGGAAGGAGGGATCTACCTATGAGAGCTTACAATCTAAAAACTACCCATGCTTGTGCAGACTAACCTATTAGGTTACAGTAAGTGGGTTAAAAGGAACTAATGAGCTATTTGATTTCTGTTAACCTACTCAAATCAATGGAGATAAATCCCATGAAAACTAATATTTCACGTTTAGCTTGGGTGTTAAACCAATCTCTTATGCCTATGATTGCAGGAAGATGCCTACTGGCCTTCAGATGCTAGGGGTAACACCGATTAGGGAGGTCTCGACTGCTCGTCTTGTCACCCTCCCCTCCTCATTGCCATGAACTTGCAAAGTTTGCAGAGCTCATTATATAAGCGTATGAAGCTCTGAGCAGTACCCAACAAATATTCTGCCTCATGAGTAGTTGGATTGTGCCTGCATATCGACTGAAGTCTACCATTAAGTTTAAGAAAGAGTCCATCTCTTCCGGCTGGATTTTAAATTTACTCTTAATTAGGGAAAATGGAACTAGAAATATAGGAAGATTGTTGTGATTAAATCTCACAGCTTAAATGTGTGAATTAATAAAGAAGAAGAAAAGCCATTAGATGACTAAACCCCAAAGACCTCCTGTAGCTCAAAATACCACTTTTGGGTGGTTAGACCTTTAAAAGAGAAGGACTTTTCATGCCATAATTTAGACTATTTGTATGAACAGTGCATGCATTTTCACTAAAAGGAGAATGTGGTGGTAAAGGCAGCAGTCCATGTAGTGCATAGGTCCAATTGAATGTATTGATTGATTATATCAAAAACCTAAGCACAGCTACAAAGCTGATGTGTACAACTTGAAAACTCTCCAAAAACGGATACAGTAAACTTTCTGTTATCCGGCATCCACAGGGATTGGTAGATTCCGGACAAATGTAGTTACTGGTTGCTTGAGAGTTACTATTAAAAATAGGTTTAACTAATGCCATAACCCATACTATACTATACCATAACATAAACTCTGTATTGACTTCATATTAATATTGAAATGCAGTAATCAAAAGCAAATGAAGACAAATAGACACATTTAGTATTGGTGCTGTAGTACAGTGCTCTAATGCGGTACTAGGAGTAATTACTAGGTGGCACTTGTTCACAGACGATCGTTTCCAGGATAATACATGCGCAGATCAGCGGAGCAGTGAGTACACAGGTGATTTTTTTTTTGGGCGGTTAGATGAGAGTTCCGGTTAGTTGAAAAACGGATAACTGAGAGTTTACTGTATTTGGTTGTCAGTGACCAAATATTGTACATATCTGATATTTTGTCCTAGAGTTTATTACACATACACCATATTACCAAAAAGACAACAACACCACTTTAGAATCAACATTATGGAAAAGGTGCTTTCTCATGATGTTATTCCAGGAAATGATCAGTGTGCCTTTTCTTGAGTTTGACTTGCTTTTTCTTTTTGTAACAGGTGGTAATGTGGACAGCACTTTTGACATTGAAAAAGGAGTGGGGACAATTGTGATTGCTAAGCCACTGGATGCTGAACTCCGCTCAAGCTATAATATGACAGTGGAAGTCACAGATGGGACCAACGTTGCAAGCACTCAGGTAACATCTATCATCTATGACAAATCATCTGTCCTTAAGTATCAAAGACAACTTTGTAGGAACATTCTTGTCTTCCTGCCCCTAAAATACATATGATGACAGTTTGAAGCACCCCTGGCAATGTTATATAGCTGTTTGTATACCTTAATTGTAGAGAGAGAATACAATATAAGTTTAGTGTATATTGCCATCTTAAACTGAGCCTGGCAACAAGCTATACACATTCAAAAGCGCTTCTCATTAGTCAGAGTGGGCAGGTGACTATGCTGCCTAATGACTGCTCGCCATTTGCAAGAGAAATTCAAAATAGGGAGCACAGTACTTCACTGCCATGTACAATTGCACCGCTGGAGGGGAAGGAGCATTTGGCCAAAGGTAAGTATAGCGGGGTGGTCAGATTGGAGGGGGTAATTCAATTTTCTACAATTCACCTGGGAAAGTGGAATTACCCTTTAAAACCACATTTCACTAAGCTTTATAGCCGCAGGTACCATGCAGTAATTTATCCTCAGAGGAGCTCATCTGCCTTTGCTTAAGCTGGCTGTGGGGACTTTTGATGCCTGCCAGCTCTTAAACTTAAACTAACATCAGGTGGTGTCAGCTGGTTAGAAACTGACTAGATTCCAGAGTTTCTTTGTGATCTTTTCGGATGAATTGCTCCACAGTGTAGCTACAGAGGTGAGTGAGGGCTTGTTCTCAAGCCCATTGGGTGCTCGTTACAAATATGTAAATGTTTTAATTTCCATAGCCTAGCCTCTCTCTCTCTCTCTCTTTCTCTCTCTCTCTCTCTCTCTCTCTCTCTCTCTCTCTTTGTATTAACAACCTCAATTTTCATAGTCCTACCTTCACTTTCCTGTTGTAGCAACTGTGCCTGTATAATTCAGCAGCCCAGCAGCCATCAGAGTAGAGCCATACATGATTCGAATTTCGGATGGTTCTTGATGAGCTGGCTGAAATTCGATGCATGGGTGCCGCTTTTGGCACCTTTAAAACCAGAATCCCTCAATCAGCTGATCAAAGGAGCATGTTGGAGAATAGTCATCCGAACACAGCTAGCAGCCAACGAGCTGCCAGCTCTGATCGGGTATTCTGACATCGGCTGGCGGCCACTGACAGACTACAAAGGAAACAGCAGGGGATTCACTGACTTTAGACCTAGTTCTTTCAGTAATCTAACAAAGCTGGTCAGGCACATGTCCTCCTCTTCTCTGTGTGACGACATTTGTGTCGAGGGGTGTGGCTTTTACTTAGCTCTACCAGCATAGAGCACTGCAGTATGAGCATTTTCACTGAGAGTTAAGGGTATTTTAAGGAATTTTCAAGTAAAAATAGCTCACGAATCATAACATTGGAGGGTACAGGACTATAAATAGTTAAACAAAAATTGCAAGACTCCATTTGGTTTGTAACCCTATTAACACATGTGCAGGTTGTCAGCACCGATCGAAGTTTTATGAAACCATCGACTTTATATAAAACTTTGTATTTTGCTCCTCGCCTTCGCCTTGGTGTCTTTTGACCCATACTTTAAGCTCTAACCAATCAGCCTTGTATAGATTATTTCTTTAAAATCCCTCAGACGTAACATACAGATGAAAGGTGATGATACCTCTCGGTGACAAGTGAATCATGTAATCCATCCTAGAGCCTTGGAATTAAAATAGAAACACTGCACAAAAGTGGAAATTCAAAATTCGGATGTCAGTAGCAAAGAAAATTAGAGGGTTTCTTTATTATAGAAATGAAACATTGAGGAATGATATTGTAAAACCTGTAAGTTTCCAAACCCAGGAGCATTTCCCTTGATAAACTATTCCAGGGACCAATCTCAGAGACCCAAAGCCGTTTTGGAAAAATCGAAACAGTTAACAACTCTGTAAAGGATTGAACCCTCCTGGTTATGATCACCTAATCCTTGTGTTGGAAGATCTCTGCTCGGTGATATGTTTGCCAGAACTCTCTGATTACGTGTAGCTATCCAGACTAGTATAGGCAGCTCTAGCTTAAGCGTGCAGAGTAAAGTAGACGGTAATATCGTCCTGTCCATTCCTACTTCTCTTACAATCAAATGATCACTCCTTCATAAATCTGTCCACTAGCAGATGGTTCCCATTACCTGTCACTCAAACGTGTTTTTTCACGGTTCACTGATTAATAATATTATACTTTGATAATATTGTTTCAAAGATTGGTTTACCATTTGTCCAGAAAAACCATCATGACTCATGACACCCATAAATACCGTCTGATTAGTCACAGGTGAATTTGGGGCTCAATAGACATATCTTGTACAACCAGAGCTATCGGGTTTAAACATAGCACCCCCTCTTCGAAGGACTGTAACCACAGATCAGTTACATGGGTAGACGTATGTTGGAGTCATTACGTTTCTACCTTGTTTCCTGTCTGAGCAAATACGCAACAACATATTTTGTTGCTAATTACCGCTCAGACTGAGCCGAGCTACATCAGTAATTCGATCATCTCCCTCTGTTGACCTCTGGTGTGTGACCCCTGATTTTACAGGAACAAACTCTCCTAATGTATAAGTTATCACCAGAGCAAGGTTCCTAGAGATTGATGGATGTTTCCAGAGCTTGAATGAAATGCATGCCTATTCTACACTCCTGCTTAATACATCATTGCTCAAGGCCATGTTTGGTAAAGTGATTACCTCTCCTTAGACAGAAGGTGAATAACATTCCTAACATCTTGAATAAATGCATTTTCAGTGTGTACGCTGAGCTTTCAGAGTTGATTAAAGAGGCCATAATAAAAAAAAACTTTTTTTTTTCCATCTACAAACATGGTAAATAGAAGGTAAACCATTGCAGATGTGCATGTGAGATTAGCATATAGCTACAATATTGGAGTTCTTGCAACTCGGTTCCTACTAGGATTACTGTATGTATAAAGTGAGTAGTCTCCACATTGTGTTGATGGGGCTTTTCTTTTGGTGCTCCTGGCTTTTTCCTACAATCTGGAGTTTTTGTATGATAGTAGTAGGCAAATTTAAGAGGAATTGAACTCTGGGAGTTGTACCCATTAAAAGACAGGCAGAGGGCAAAGGACTAGTCACCACCATTGTCTTTGGTCTCCCTGCAGATGATTGCTCCCCCAAAATTTGGTTATAGGTGTATGCTGTTCACACCATGCATTTTGGCCTCCTTATTGTGCCAGATAGTGTGAAATGTCATCACCATGGGCAGAGCTGGAGTGTTGCCAAACTCCAGCTCTGCCCTTTCCCTGAGCCCTGTGCTGGCACCTGTACTGAACATATGCAGTCATCATGTAACAAAAGGCTGCAGTACAATTTGAAAGCACTTTAAAAATCCTTATGACTTTGGCTGCAATTATTATTCTCATCCTAAAAGTAAATGAATCATTAAATGGATATAATAGGCTGCATTAAAAACAATAACTTACTGAATTATTAATAATTGATAAACTGACAATATACCGGTAATTATTAATAATTATTTTGACTTCAGCACATTCAAAGTATGTTTGGGCTGCAGGAACAGTTTACTGATTTTACTTGACCACAGCTGCCATTTAATCATCTAGCCATTGACCTGCAGTGAGCACTTGACAGCTGCAGGTAAATATAGAACCATTATAAATTGCGCCCCGATCGCCATTGTGTATGGAGATATCCATTGGCCACATCTCTACCCAAGGAGCCATTTTCCAAATGCTTGTGACTCTGATAATGTCAGTTATTGTTTTTTAATGCAGCCTATTATATCTATTTAATGATTCATTACAAGCTTTTTGTCTGAGCCATTGCACGGGAAAAGTGAGTCCTTTGTTCTCCTCTGCTTCTCTTTATTGGTATTATTAAATGCGGGGTAGGCTTAGGTTAAATATCTCCATTCATCCCTAACTATTACAATGGACACATTATTGCTTTATGGATGACAATTACAAAGTTAAATTATCTATGAAAAAAAAGCTGTGTAGCACTATGTTCTATATAAAGCTTGCACTTAGCCTCAAGAGTTGCTGTTGAAAGCAAAGTGTGAGACAAAGGTGCTAAATTATGTGGGTGTCCCTGTTCCAGAATATATTTCATTTGCATAGCTTGCTGCTATCATGAAACCATGTCTACTTAAAAGTTATGTTTTCATTATAGTTCTGGTTATAGAGTCCTGGTATGCCGAGTCATCCATTGGCTCCTTTATCTCTTGGATGTGCCACCAATGAAATCTTCCTACCATAGTTCCAGAGTTTGTACTGCCCACTATGGAGTTTTGGGTGTTCCTGCCAGCTTGAGGTGCTCCCACTTTTACTGTTGCATTCTCTGTCATACATGTGAAAAGGTAAATACACCCATGGAAACTTTTGACCTTTTCAAAATAATTGAACAGCAAAACATTAAACATTTATTCACGCAGTGCTACAGTGGTGTCCAATCTACTTTAACAAATAACACATAAAATGGAGATGGTGTAATCATTCTCATAATCGAAATAGGCAAAGATTAAGATTTGTCTCATGCAAAAAGTAAGTACACGCCTATATTTACCATTACTTCAAATCCATGAAATTACTTTCAGGTGTCCCAGATTAGGTGCATTGGATTAGAACCTGGTGCCCATACACTGGGCGAATTTCGGACGGTTTTTAATGTACCGGACGAAATTTGCACAGTATGTGGGGCTGTCTGCTCCCTTTCAGCCGGCATTCCTCGATCAGCTGATCGAGCCGGCTAGAGCCAGCAGCCAATGAGCTGGGTATTTATTAATTATTATTACTTTTTTTTCATGTAACAATATCTTTCTGGTTGATACACTGCTGAGAGACTACCACTTCACACCACATTCCCTACATATTACCGGTAGGGCTGCAGCTAACGATTATTTTCATAATCAATTTGTGGCCCGTTTATTTTTTCAATTAGTTGGTTGTATTAAAAAAAATTCTCTCCCCCCCCCCAACTAATCGATAATGAGAATCATTGCCAACTATTCGCATTATTGATTACAATCGATTTAATC